AAAAAATAAAACCTTGTACTCAGACAAATGAAACTACATTTATGTATCTTATATGTACTAAGCTACTGAGCAATGCTTTGATACAACCTCCCAACTTTTCTCTTTTTTAACAAAATGTGATTTTTTTTTTACCTTGGACTGTGTAATATAATTTCAACTTTATCTTTAACAGCATTCAAGACGTTTTTAACATTTCAAAACACATTCTCGTGTTAGCAGACAGATTACACTTTCACACGTGACCGACAATTCCATAACAAATATAAAATATCATCAATGAAATATTATCAAAATATTCAACTGACGGAGTTGACACATCTGACGGTGGTGACGAAAACCTGAATTTGTAGTCATTTTAACTATCAAATACACTGAATCAGTCAATTGCTGTATTAAAACAAACACAACAAACAGTGAGTATGTTATTGTTTATAAAGCTTTTATTCAAGAGTCGCATTTAAGTATTTTGATATATCACTGGAACACAAAATCTTACGGTGGTGACATCTGACGGTGTTGACAAATTTGTCATTTCATGTGGTAGCCATTTTATTTTTTTTCTGTTGATGCTAGATGCTAATGGAACCTGCTTCAGGAGAATAAAATGATCTAAATATTTCAAATAATTTCCTCAGAAATTGGAAGATGGTGTTGACATATCATGGCTGTGACAAAGGAAATATTAACATTAGGATTTAAAATATTCTAAAACTATAAAACTTAGCAGAGCCTGTCTGACACTGATGTACTCTGCTGCAGAGGTGAACTGTGGCAAGGGGGTCCTTTAGAGTGACAGCCAGTGTTGCCAACTAGTTTTCAGAGAGAGTTGCTAAAGGAAGGTCGATTTGTTGCTAAAAGTTGCTAAATGACGTTGTGATGTCATTGCTCAATGACGTCATTGCGTAATCACGACGCAAAATTGTCACATCATCAAACCTCAGCAAAAAATATATTTTATATATGTACATTTAGATTTGTTTTTAAAATAATATGCATGATATAATATTAAAATATACATAACTGTATTTTTAAATACATTGAATTATTGAAAACTTACACATTTTTAAATGATTACAATTTAAGTTTTTTTAGTAGCTAGTAAACACACATTCTCAATAATTATGCTTTAAGCAGTGTATTAGTAGTTAGTTAGTATGCTACACTCTTAAGAAAAGTCTGTAAAAATAAGGCACAATCTACTGTTAACATGAAAGAATTTTCCGTAATGTTTTTTTTACCTGTATATTTTAAATTACGCATTGTGTTTTCGGGTTACAAGGTTACAAAGGATGATGGATAATGGATAATGTCCTGAAAGATTTTCCATTTTTCGTACAGTGTACTAACTGATCAACAATCGCAGGTACAAGCTACTAACAAAGTGTATCATAAATGAACAATTATTCAATTATCAAATTATTCAATTATTATTAAATTGAACAATTGCAAATAGCAGCTAACTCAATTCTCGTGATGTGTGTACTGCTAGGCGTCTGTGGTTTCCTCTTTTTGTGTAATTTGGATGGACAATGTGTGCCTTTTTATTGTCCGAGTCCTTATCAAAAGCTGCTAAAAGTTGCCAAATAAATGTTTAAAATTGCTAAATTTGTTGCTAGGTGCTTTTGGAAGAAAAAGTTGCTAGGGTAGTCTGAAAAGTTGCTCAATTTAGCTACAAAATTGCTAAGTTGGCAACACTGGTGACAGCTGGCCCTGATATTCCCTGATTTTATTACATTTTATTGAATGTCTGACGATGTTGACAAAAAGTGGGGACGCAACTTTAAAATCTTATTAAACATGCATGTGTCATTAAAAACAACCTTGCTTTGATAGGAGATATTATTAAGTGTTGCTTTTGATAAAACAAGCTCTTTTTCAACATTAATTTTTTTTTTTATCCATTTTATTGCATATGAATGCTTGAACCCTTCTCTGTGGACACCCTGTTTTAGATGTAAGTTAGTGAGAGGACATTAAGAAACACAGATTTGTTATAATAATTAGATAATTTAATTGAAGGTGATAATTGTGTTAAATACATTCTATTATTAATCCCTCATGACATTTACAATTAAAAATATTAGTATGTTTAAGCCTAATAGCAGTTACCCTTGCTGGACCTGTTTTGTACCACGTCTCAAGAATGACTGTAATACATAAAAGAGCAAAATACAGACTATTTAGATATAACTGTAAGGATTTCAGTTAACTGTTGTAAAACCTAACGTTACTGTTTTGCCCATCAACTCTTGTCTTAGACAATCCATTCAGCGTTTTTTAAACTAAATAAACATGAAGTAGGATTAAAACATTAAACGTAAATAAAGCGTCTTACCTGTCAGATATAAATGCTTATGTATTGCAACTCAAAACACCACTGCTGACAATCTGCCGGCGAGTAAACACACTGTTGCTATGGCAACGAAACGTTTTAACGCTAGAGGTCGGCAGACGACATTTATTTTTCCATCATGAAAAGAGGCTCGAAAAAATTAACAGATGAAAAGATTTTAAACATAGTAAAAATCTTTTTAAAAATGACATACATTTAGTAATAATTTATCAACAGGATCTCTATTTATCAGCCTTGCTGTCATTACTATTCGTAGTTAATTAGTACTTTGCTATGAGGATAATCAATCAAATCATTAAAACAAACTGTTTTCATTTTTCATTTAAACAACATTTATTTCATGTCATCAGTAAGCATTTGTAGTTGTTTAAAAAATAAAAAGCTCTTCATTTACAGAGGAATTGTTTCTTACAGTTTTTTCCTTTTATACATTATAATTTGATACAAATACATTCTATTTATACATTAACATTAGTCTAACATTATAACAAAAGCACATTCTTAAGCCAAAAGAGGGCATAATTGGTTTTGACAAATATGTTTAAGCACAGTCTGCTTATACTTAACATGAAAGAATCATGAAGAGGCTCGAAAAAATTAACAGATGAAAAGATTTTAAACATAGTAAAAATCTTTTTAAAAATGACATACATTTAGTAATAATTTATCAACAGGATCTCTATTTATCAGCCTTGCTGTCATTACTATTCGTAGTTAATTAGTACTTTGCTATGAGGATAATCAATCAAATCATTAAAACAAACTGTTTTCATTTTTCATTTAAACAACATTTATTTCATGTCATCAGTAAGCATTTGTAGTTGTTTAAAAAATAAAAAGCTCTTCATTTACAGAGGAATTGTTTCTTACAGTTTTTTTCCTTTTATACATTATAATTTGATACAAATACATTCTATTTATACATTAGCATTAGTCTAACATTATAACAAAAGCACATTCTTAAGCCAAAAGAGGGCATAATTGGTTTTGACAAATATGTTTAAGCACGGTCTGCTTATACTTAACATGAAAGTTAGATCAAACTGTACTGACCACAAAATACACTTGGTCATTTCTGCACATCCTTCAGTTATTCACACTCAATTTCAGTGAGACACAAATATTATTATAATACCACTTCAGCATGAGTTATAGACATAAATAGATCCACAAAGTAAACGTGCCATAAAAGTACTCAAATAAATTGTGCAAATGCAGCCTTTTCTTGACAGTGTAACAGACTGCATAAGTTTGAACGGAATGAGAACGCAAGGACAACAGTAGCAGTAACCATAAACACTCAAATTCTGAAGTACAGTAGACTGATAAAACATTTTGTTTATAAAAATTTTTACAAGATAAATGTATACTGAATGTTTTGAGACAATGTGGTAATAGTAAGGCTGTAATGTGAATTTATTCATTAAATAATGAATTAAATAATATACATTATGGGTATGATTTTCTTAATTTGTAACAACCTTTTTTGAAAGACTTTTTAGAATCGATTTCAATGATTACAGTACAAATTTAAATGTGCTTACTTAAGATACCACAATCGATTTGGGACTGGTCCCATCAACTGGCTGCGATTTAAAATATACTGGCTTTAATTTGTAATATTTCTTGGATAAAAAAAAACACTGTATACACTGTATCACATACCAGTAAAACCTCAAATCAATTTTGGATTAAAATTGCACTTGTTTGAATTCGCAGGCATGTTTGGTTTGACATCTGAGCTGCATATGACAGCGTATAAACCAACGTGCACTTTAAACCTGGTCTTAACTGGATACTGTTTCATCTAGTCCGTTGATATTTTCAGGCACTAAACCCTCTTCAATCGCCGCTCTGGATTCCTGCACCTTTAAATCAATTGAAAAACAACAGAAAACCCTTCAAAAGCCATAATAGTGATATATTTATACATAAAAATACTATATAATATACTGTATATACTCTCTCTTTCCCTCTCTCTCTCTCTATATATATGCACAGTGGTATTATTATGTATGCATGAAATATAGAAGTAAAATATTACTCACCTTAAAAGGTTGACTAATACCCACAATGCACTGCAAGTTGCTGCTGTAATAGCACAGCACACATTCTCCCCCAAGAACAGGGATTTCATCTTTGTTCACATAAACCTGTGATCAGAGAAAATATCATTTACTGCTTGGTTGCTTATGTGACAAAAACAAATTATTTGACAGTTTTAAAGCAACATAGACTGCAAATGTTGCATACTTGAAAGAGCTCATCAGTGAAAGACACCTGGTCATCCTTCACCCAGATTTTAAAATATATTAAAATACAAAACAGACATTTTAAACTGTAATAATTTCTTGATATTACTGTTTATACTGTTTTTTCCCCCCAAAATATATGGCTCCTTGGGGAGTAAAAGTGAATTCTTTAAAAAACAAACTTTAGGTAGTGGCCTTTATATTTTTATATTTTAGTCAACTAAATTACTAAACATTTTAGGAAGTTGGTCCCCTACAAGAAGAGCATCATATTTTGTAGGTCCCCATGTTTAAAAAGTGTGAAAACAACTGCTCTAAAAATATAAGGAGTTTATATGAGTTCAGTCATGCTGCATCTCCTTATGGACAGCATAAATACATCATGTAGATCAAAAAGCATTTTCACTAAGCAGGCCAAGTCGTCCACATGCTTTATAACCATGTGTGTTGCAAAGATCTGAACAGCTACTAGAACCGACAGCATTGAACAACAGCTGATCGATACTTACACATCAAAACTCTTTGCAACACACAACAACAACTACATCCAAACACAGACTGGATCTATATGGCTGTTATTAATTGATTATTTACGGTGCTTCATAGATGAATTGGTGTTACAGGACGGGATAGCGGCACACAATGCACTGGTCTTCATTAAAGTGTGAATGAGGTCTGTCAGCTCTAGGGCAAAAAAAAAAGGCTTTCCGCTGCCTGGCGGAATGCTACAAACAGGGAAAGGAATGCTGGTGGAATGCTAGACAAGCAGGGTAGGAAGGATTAAGTTAGGAAGCGCATGGGAATTTGAAAGCTTACTTAAAACCAAACCATGTCTTCTGTACCCTGCAGGGGTGAAAAAGAGCATCTGTGAACATCTGACAGTTAAAAACAGCCCTGAAGGAGGAGCTGCGGGAGATTCAGGATATTATGGGGATTACTATTGCTATGTACTGCAATTAAAGTCAACATGAAATCCATTTTAATTCCACAATAGAAATATATGTATGAGTGAAACAAAAAGTTGAGCAGGACTTGATTTTATCCATCAGGAATTGGCTGTGTTGTGAAAAGTGGTATTTTCTTTTCTTATTAAAAATAAGGTAAAATGAATAGAATTTCAAAGGCATTACATTCTGGAATAATGTGCCACAATTATCATTCACAAAAAGACCATGATTGAGCAAAGAAAATGTCTTATTGACTTTAAAACCAATGACTACAAAATACAGCAGGATGTACTGTAATAAGTTGTGTCATTTACCTTGTGTCATAGTTATCGGAGTTCAAATCGAATTTATAGGTGGGCTGAAAGTCAAGAGGTCCTTCTTCAAACTTCTGCAAAGTAGCTTTCTTCTGCTTCATCATGGTGAGCTGGTGAGATATTGACATGCACAGACACAAACTAACATTATTGCATAAATTAAGTGAGTTACTATTTCTGGATCGGCAAATATACGATTGATATGTTACTACATTTTTCATTTGCATGTATAGACATTGTTACTACATCTATTGACCAGTACCTGATCTTTAGGCCAAAGAAGATTATAACGCTGGCTGGTGATGCAGTTCCTTACAAACAGCATCCCGTGGTCCTCTATACGGAAATTCAAATCCCCAAACCAGAACACCACTCTAGAATTAATTTGCAATAAAGAGCAATGTAGATAAATGATAAGGAATAAAGAACACAATCAGCCAAATTAAATCATTCACAGAAGACTGTTATGTGGTTATTATTCATGACCGGGACTGACTTGTGATCCAAAATGCGTGGTGTGTTTTTGGTGTCAAAGGTCTGAGCATCTAGAATATACTCGAACTCATCCACCCGCTGAGAGGCGTAGTTCATGTGGGCGGTCAGGTGACAGTTCAGGAAGCAGAGCATGTGACCGTAGAAGGACAGACGGATGGACACGCCTCCTTTATTACCCTTTAATTTCAAGAAAATAAGGATGAATTTTCCTGCACAGCAAATGTTTGTTACATTTTCATTAGGTTTATCAAAAGTTGCTCTCAAAACTACAACTAACTTGCATTTCCATACTCTTACCCAGTAGCCATAGAGTCCTGTGCGTGTGTAAGTGACCTGAATGTCTCTGATAAAGGGGACGTGCTCCAGCTTGGAAAAGAAAAGCAAGAGCAGACCTTGCATCCGTATGGAGGACACCTGAATGGGCCACAATAAATACATTTATATAATTAAATTAAATATTTATATTATATTAAATATATAAACTATAATAGATTTAATAAATAACACATTTAATTGTAATTATAGATGATATTTATTCATTATAAGTTCATGGTAAAATGTTATTTAAGGACCAATTTTTACTATTAACTAGTTGCTTATCAGCATGCATATTACTAGCATATTGGCTGTTTATTAGTTTTTATAAAGCACATAATAATGCCTTATTCTGCAGGACCATATTTTAGATCCCTTAATCCCACCTCATACCTAAACTTAACAACTACCTTACTAATTATTAATAAGCAGAAAATTAGTTGTTTATCGTGGCAAAAGTCATAGTTAATAGTTAGTTAATAGTGAGAACTGGTCCTTAAACTAAAGTGTAACCAAGTTCATTATACCAACTTCATTATTAATTCATTATAGGTTCATTAAGTCAAATGTAGTAATGTAATTAAAAGTAGAAATAATGTATATACTGTATATTATAAATTATATTATATTACAATGTATATAATTACATTTAATTTAAATTGTATACATTTCAATGATTTAAATGCATTATTTCTTATTTAACCTTAAATATATAATTATATAAATTGTAATAATTCACATTAAAAATATAAAATGATTAAATAATTGTAATCACATATGTAATTAAAGTATATATACATATATATATATATATATATATATATATACACACACACACATATACATATATATATATATATGTAATTATATTAACATATTTAAATTATGTTATTAAAAATACACATTTTAATATATTATAAATAATAATATATTATAAATATATATCTTTTTTCTTTTTAAACCCTAACATTTACAATAATAATAATAATAATAATAACATTTCCCATTCATGTATACCTGTCAGAGCTGCTCTATAAATCACTGACTAAGAAATCAGTGGTATACTATCACATAATTAGTATGATAATGAACAAAAGCATGTTTGTATGAGTCAGCACCTTGATATAACCCAATGGAGCCAGTGTGTTCATGAAGAGGTGACTCCAAGAATCCTCGAAGGCCAAATCTGTGACAAACTTGAGAGGTGCAGCCTTCACCTCCTGCAGCCTGAACAGCAGCATCACAGGTGTTAAGACACTCAGACCACATACTTCTTGAGGTAAGATAACTGTCATTATTTACTTTATGGTCTGTCTCTCGCTTTCAAATACTGAAACTCACCCGATCACATAGAGGTCAGTTTTCTTCGGGGAGTTGAGCTGAAGCAGAGAGTTCACATCGTCAGGAGGCTCAGCTGTGGCCACATTCCACGTGACGACGTACAGCCTGTGAGTAAAAGAAAGAAATAATAGTTCTGCTTGTGTAACTCCTGTCCTTACATAACTGCTCAGATTAACAATAACACCAATTCAAGAAATTCTAAGCATATCACACTGCAGCTTACCATCTTAAACAGCTCAATCCGTTCAACCATTTTTAAGAACCACAGGCTAACATCTAAGGTTTAAAATGTCTCATCCCCTGAAGATCATTAACTCAAATACACTGAAACGTTGATTTCTCTGGAAAAACAGATAGAAAGGTGCACAGTCGCCACGAAACCAAGCTGGACACCTGCAGTCAGGTTTAGGTCTGCCAGACTTGACAACAAGAGAGATAGAAAACAAAACCTGAACTGGTCTTTCTTAGGTCGGACTGCAGACGAGAAAAGCCTAATCTAATATTTTAGCCACCTGGGCGTTGAGTTTATCGTTAGGGTCCAGATCATCCACGCAGGTCATGAGCATAGCCAGACGCTGTCGCACATACAGACGGCTGCTGGTGGACTCTGTGCCGGTGCTGGCCACACTGTCGGAGCGCGATCGCAGGGTTTCGCTAAAATATTCAGAGATTTCCTCCATGCTAAGCGACAGTGGCTGGTCACGTGAAAAAAATTGCACCTGAGTGTCTTGATAGATATTTCGTCTTGAGTTCCAGGGAAGCAAAGTCAGTTGTTCCAATAATGAATAATACAATAAAATGTGTGATATAGGCTGTAGGGGGAGTAAAAGGAGGCTGTAGTGTAGGCGAACTTTTAGATTTAAAGATGAAATCCCTAATCTGGTTTAACAAGGTCCTACGTGACCCACCCAACACAATCAATCTAAACTACAAACGTGTTCCTCAGTATGCCATTTAAACAATACACTGGATTAACTGTTAGAAATAAATAGCTAATTATTTCTATTTCTCTGACATCAATACTTATTTCTGATATTTTCATGCTATTAATTATATTTGTTTATTTGATCATATTTATCATATGTTATCATTTATTTTATATAATTATAGTATGTGACAATACATCTTATATTCATATATATACATATACAGTTGTGCTCATAAGTTTATATACCCCTTGCTGAATGTGCAAACTGTTAATAATTGAAACAAAATAAGAGGGATCATAAAAATTGCATACTATTTTTTATTTAGTACTGTCCTGAATAAGCTATTTCACACACACACACACACACAGTTTGTGATAAATAAACATTCTTGCATCATGGTAAGTATAGAAAGTATATTTTTATTTTTGACTGTATAGTTAGGAAACTAGAGGCCAAAATATGGAACCGTAAAACAGTTTGGTTTTCCATAAGCAACCGAAATCCCCCACATGAACAGAAACCTGTTGTATAACCAAAGTGTGTTAAGAAAGCTAATCCCAATGAGCTTATCCCTGCTTCATGCGTTCACCATTTCAGCGAACAAGAGACTATACTGTTCACCTTCTAGAATTCTGGATGTTGAAACAGAAAAAAGCGCTTTAGGTCTTTAATTGACAACCTTGTGACAAACTTACAACAATGTTTGTGCTCCATGAGAAGAAAATCTGAATGGATAATTGTATAGCTATATCAGCACATTGACATAATGACAGAATATGTTAAAATCTTAGTTTTGCTTTAAACTTTTTGATGGAAATCCATCCAATAATGGTTGTAGGATTAAAGCCCAAACGGGGTGACTCTTGAGCACTATTGCATTTTACTTGCAATAGTAAAATACAATATCAATAGTTTAGAATAAGAAAGCATATGCTAAATAAAGAATAAGATGGGATATTTACCCAAAAGTGTCCATCTTGCTGTCTTTCTGCTCCAGACTGACAGAATTCAAAGCCTGTGACAAATCGTCCTCCATCTTCTCCAACCTGTCAAACATACCATGCTTTTCTCAGCAACCTGCTTTGCATTTCATGTGCATCCAAATTCATCCGAATAAAACCACTAATATTCTCTTTCAAAGCTCAGCATCGGTGCTGTTAATGCAACACGTGTAAGACAAGCCATAATGTGTATATATAATAATAAAAATACAAATGTGAAGTATAGAGTATGACGTCAGGATTATAGCCAGTGTCAAAATAATGTTGCATGGAATACTCTCAGTACAGATTAATGCAACACTTATCATATCACAGTAACTGTTACATGCCGAAATGACAAAAATGATGGAACGTATTAATGAGAAAATCTAGGATGAATATGTTTGAAACAGTATTCAAACTACCTGCTAAACCTCGTTGTCTTCGCTTCCGCAGTCTCAAAGTCTCTGTGGTGTTAAACAATTAGTGGAGACAAAAAATATCCCGTAACATCACGAGCTGTGCACTGTATTTACATGAGAGAGGGAGTGTGTGAATCTACACGCAAACTTACTTCACTCAACAGAACAGTGCATGGATGCTGGAAACAAAATAAAAGTCCTAGGGGCGCTACCACAGTCTATGGGCGCTACTCATCTTCTTCTTCTTCGGTTTTATGGCGGGTAGCACCAATGTTAAGGTGCATTATCGCCACCTACTGTATTTGAGTGTGAACCAGAGTTTACCATTTCATAATAAGAGGACAAAAAAACCAAATAATTACTAAATAAAATAAAAAATGTTTACTTCTTTGCCTCAAGAAGATTTCCCCACTAAATTCTCTTAATCAGCTCTGTTCTCTTAAGATACAAAAATAAACTTTCTAGTCCATAAGTAAATATATTTTTAAGCTTTAGGTTATCCACTCCCATCTTTCTAAGTTCATTCTTCATTGTTTCTCATTCATTAGTATACTTTTGACAAATACAAATAACATGTTCTACTGATTCCTCCATTCCACAGTGCTCACATAATCCTGTTGGATGTTTATTTATTATTTGTTAAGGTTTTATTCAGCATAGTATGCCCAACCCTTAATCTTGTTAGAATATTTTTTTGGTGCTTCTTTTAATTATTCTCACGACTCCTACATCTCGCTGTATTTCATAAAGTTGACGTCCTGTATTTCCTGTATCCCATTCATTGTTGCCACTCCTTAGTGTTATATGCTTTAATTACTGCTTTTGCTTTATATTTACTAAGTGAGATATTCATGATATCCTCGTTTTCCAATGCCTGTTTTGCTAATCCATCAACCTTTTCATTACCCTTTATCCCCCCATGAGCTGGCATCCACATAAATATTATCATGATGTTCATATTCT